CCCTAGGAAAACAGCACGCAATCTAAGAGGGCGGGAATCGTCCCCTGGAGGAAGCCCCAATTTTTAAGTCGCTAAAAACGTTTCCCCCCGGGCCGCAGTGTGGAAAATTTAAATTTAATTTCTGAAGCTATAGTGCCTAATAAGTGTTTAATGTGTTGTTTTGGGGTCAAAATGTATTTGTATTTTGAATGGAACCAACTGGGTTCCCGCTACGCCTGCCAGATGTGGGGGGGGGTTTAGGGTCGAGCTGGGGAAACGAGGCGGCGGCAGTGTTTTGAATGGGTGAGGAGGCTGTGAAAACTGGGATGAGAAAACTGGCATTTACGTGGGCCAAGGATTAATATGGGCCTCAATTCATAATAGGAAGTGTCGTGACTGTCCCTAGTGAAGAGGAGGAACGTGATTTACGGACCACCGTAAAAAGGTGGTAAAATTAGTGAATAAATGGTTCGACCGGTGTGACTGGTGCGCGGCCATGGTGTGTGTCCGGGGGAAATACCCGTGAATTAATCCTTCCCTCATCGGCCTCATATCTTAATGGAGTGACCTCTAATGTGTACGATTATGAGACGTTAAATCGTCTTGTGAATGGTAATGTAATCAGTGATAATAACATTAAGTTAAGAGAAGGGGGGGAAATGGAAATAGATCGCCCTGCTCCGAGTGAACGCGTGATTATCATATCGAGGATAGTGAAGTTTTATGGTATCACGACTTCTAAACCGGGACAAACCAACGGATACCTCGTCCTGCTGGAATAAGAACCGTGTCGGTGTGGCGGGACGTCGAAATGAGATGGTGAATGGAGGAAATAAGGAGCATCAATCACCCCCAGTTAAGTAACCCTTCTAGTTATAACAGACTGATACTGGCCAGTTAGGTATGTTTTAATTGGATGGGTTAAGGGTGATCCAGCCACATCAAGTGACCACCAGGGAATATCTGGAAAGTTTACCTGGAGTTTACCTGGAGAGAGTTCCGGGGGTCAACGCCCCCGCGGCCCGGTCTGTGACCAGGCCTCCTGGTGGATCAGAGCCTGATCAACCAGGCTGTTGCTGCTGGCTGCACGCAAACCAACGTACGAGCCACAGCCCGGCTGATCAGGAACTGACTTTAGGTGCTTGTCCAGTGCCAGCTTGAAGACTGCCAGGGGTCTGTTGGTAATCCCTCTTATGTGTGCTGGGAGGCAGTTGAACAGTCTCGGGCCCCTGACACTTATTGTATGGTCTCTCAACGTGCTAGTGGTGGGATTATGTACAAATGTTTTTCCTCGATGGATGTATCCAGTGTATCCTCCCCCCCCCCTTCTTTCAGTTAAAACAATAAAACTTACAGTCCAAAATTAATTAATAGCCCCGTGTTTGAGGGTGCTCCCAATTTATACTGGTCTGGATAGAGTGGACAAATTGTGAGGGTCGAGGGGGCCCCCCCTGAGTGACCCGGGGGGTTTTTGTTTTTTCACTGTTAACGGGGTGACTACGGTAAACAATAGGTTGTCTCCCAATGAGATTATTTTATTTAAAGTTGAGGTACATAAATAAGCACCCCTTAAAATTTTTCCCCCAATTATTTCATTAAAAATTTTTATATTTTTTTTTTTTTAAAATTATTATTTTTTATTATTTTTATCATTATTTTATTATTATTATTATTATTAATTATTTTATTTTTATTATTATTATTATTATTTTTTTTTTTATTCGCCGGATTCTCCCGGCCCGGTCTTTTCCAAGTAGTGGTGACCCGGCCCCGGGCCCCCATCTGGGGGTGTCCGAGACTTAAGTCCCCCCCATGGGGGGAGGTTTCATACCCCCTCATTTTTTTGGGACCAAATGTCCCCAGGCCTACCACATTCCCCGACCTCACGGGCTCGTAGGAAGAAGCTAGGCCTCTGGTCCTGCCATCACCCCGCCTCAAAGGGGCTCGTGGGAGGCAGTCTTATGAGCTGCAGATGGTAGGCAAGCACACGCCTTTAATTATTATTATTATTATTATTATTATTATTATTATTGTTTTTTGTTTTTTTATTATTATTATTATTAATATTATTATTATTATATTATTATTATTATTATTATTTTATTATTATTAATTATTATTATTATTATTGTTTTTTGTTTTATTATTATTATTTATTATTATTATTATTATTATTATTATATATTTATTATTATTATTTATTATTGTTTTTATTAATTTTATAAATATTATTATTATTATTATTATTAATATTATTATTATTATTATGTATTATTATTATTATTATTTTTTTGTTTTTGTTTTATTATTTTTATTTATTATTATTATTATTATATTATTTAATTATTATTATTATTATATTATAATATTATTATTGTTTTGTTTTTATTATTATTATTATTATTATTATTAATTATTATTATTATTATTATTATTATTATTATTATTAATATTGTTGTTTTTATTATTAATTTATTATTATTATTATTATATTATTATTATTTTATTGTTTTTTGTTTTTTTTTGTTATTTAATTTATTATTATTATTATTAATATTATAATTATTATATTATTTATTATTATTATTGTTGTTATGTTTATTATTATTTTTATTATTATTATTTTATTATATATTATTTATTTATTATTATTTATTGTTTTTGTTTTATATTATTATTATTATTATTTATTATTATTATATTATTATTATTATTATTGTTTTTGTTTTTATTATTATTTTATAATTATTATTATTATTAATATTATTATTATCATTATTATATTATTATTATTATTAATATTATATTAATTATTGTTTTGTTTTTATTATTATTATTATTATTATCATTATTATTATTGTTTTTATTATA